TGCATGCCTGAAACTCGAACAATTTGCAACAATCAAAAAAGGGTACATACCTTCTTGTAGAGCAGATAATTTCCTATCGAATGGTATATGAAACATTGTAAAACATTAGAGGTTCACAAGAAAAATTTCCGTTTGAAAAAATGCGCCACTACTTATGAGACAACCTAATATTTTCCAACAGGACGTGTATAAGCCAATCTTTTGCTTACAAAATTGGTGTCTTCTGGGAAAATTCTGCATCCATCAGACTTTGCATGATAAAACTTAGGTAGGTAGCTTCTTGAAGCAGTTCATTCTACCTCGAATATTTTCTCTTTTTACCAACCCTTCCTTGTTTTATAAATGCAGATCCACTCGAAACCCTTTCCTTTTCATAAGTAAAAAGAAATTGGGATGTTCGACTGGAAATAAGTTCACCTGATGCCGCACTTATACTTATACGTCTATCCATCTATCTTATGCTCATACATGTATCTAAACTTCACAGAAGTGTTTATTTATTTGTTTTTGCTTTGTCCCTTACACATCCTTCAACGTGCTGCTTGAGACGTTGAACTTCTGCTTTACAAAGTTTGGATCGGAAACTTTCATACAAAACGGTGCATGTATAAAAACCATAATCTGTTTATTTCATAGATAATGTCAGGCATTGCCCCTTTGAAAGAGAACGTGAAATATTTTAGGGGAAAGGAATGTGCACAACGTACTGGCTTCACGGAGTGGAGAGGTCGTCATCGAATGCCTATCTAGCGCCTAGTGCGCAGGTAAGCGCTAATTTGGATCATAAAAGTGAAGTAGAGCGACAAGTCATGACCAAACACATTCTCTTATGTATTCAAGCTATTTTTGGAATCGAGAATTTTCGCTACTAATGTACTAACCGAGTGTAGCCCTACACTCTAGCGATGGATTCTGTGGCCTTTGAAAACGACGTGAAGGTCGAAACGTTGGCCGAATAAAGATTCCACCTAAAAACCTCGTGGCTGAACCACATATTACACAATAACTATTTTTGGAATATTTTTATGCTTTCTAAATGGTGTTCTAGGAAGGGGTAGGGAACGGATCGCACAGCTCTCAATTAAGCAAAGAGACGACGCACGAATTCCACACACCTGATCCGACGATCCGAATCTCGCTGGAGCTATTCAGCATTCGATGACTTCTCCGGGACTGGTTCTCGTTCCTGTAGAATGGCCTGGTGCTTGAAGTGGATTTATGCATCTGACACATCCTCCAAGTCACTAAGAGGGCCAAAATTCGAACTAACACTTCTATGAGACTACTACGACTAATGGATGTCAATGAGCGCAGGAGGCGCACGCTACTCAAAAGTGCGAGGGAAATGACGCTAGGATCTTGCCTTGTGTGCTGCCGTGCTGCCATCCTTATCAATCGCGGCATACATGGCAATTGCGTCCTCTCACACACTGTACTCTCGCGTTTTCCCTCTCCTCGCAGCGCTGTGTCTCTCCGTCATACCACTTCTCACACGAGGAATTTTAGTGTTTTCTATGGTGCTTTTTGCTTTTTCTCCTCACTAACGTTCCTCATTGCACTTCTTGTCTAATTTTGAACAAAATAATACACCAACTCGATCCTCACCCGTGCCTCCTAATAGTGATCACGCATGTCGAAGAATTTATCCACTGGGTAGGATAGAGTAGCCCGCAATATCGCAGATGTCG